GTTCTCATTTACTATTAAGTGTTGATGAAGCCATTCATATTTAGCTAGTTCCACAGTCTGATGAGCATGCATCACACCTTATTGAAGGCTGCTTTGATATTCCTCTCGGAGATGTTGATGCTGTCAACATTTCGAGTGATCTAATAAATATTCAAAGGTAGCCATCTCTATGCTAAGCATTGGATTCATCGAACTGTCAGTAATAATAGGATTGATCCCGAAAAGATGGCAGCTCTTGGCGGCTCGCGAAATGCAGACCAAACCGTAGAACTTGGATCAAAATGGAAATGGTGTGGCATGGAGACACGTTGCGCCCCCGGTAGTTCAGTAGTTGTTATGGAGTAGGCTATCTCTTCTACAAAAATACTGATTTAGAAGAAATTCCAATGCATTTTTTTACTGGTGAAAGTAAGGACGACTCACCGCGGATGTGTGTCGGTGGTTATATGGTTTTCGATCGCGGCTTGAACAACGCTGGACGCGGTTTGAATGTAGTCTCAGTTGAACCAAAAACAGGAAGGGTTTCGTCTGTGGCGCACTTTGACACCTACGAGGATGGTGAGAGCAACAGTATATTTGCATAGTTGTCCTTCAGAAAATGATCTCGTATGTTGCAGCTTATTCATTTGCAGACTCATCGAAACTTGAAGAATGGCTGGAAAATGTGCCGTTGGGAAACATAATGGCTGTTGTGAGCTTCGATGAGGCATCTAATATGTTGGTGTTTTATCACACTTATTTGATATGACTTCGATCATTGCTTAGGTTATCCGATATGGCCAAGCGAATCTTTTACGAAATGGGATCCAGCATGATTCAACGTTTGAAATTTCGTGCTTCCTGGTAAGGACATATTGTAATAGTCATAATCAATGTTAGTGGCATGATGTTCCGATTGTAGGTATTTCGTTGGCCACAAAGGACTAGCAGCTTACAGTCCATTCGAAGACCTAAACATACCTACTGGCAATGCGTGGGCAAAACCAATCAAAACATCTATCTGCTTGCCAAAAAAACGTGCTTTCAAAAGGTTACATAATTACTAATGTTTCAATACAACATTTAGTTGATGCGTGGCGGGGTCATGCAAGCAAAGGAAAGCCTGGAATCTCTCTGAGGCCGCATAATCTCCCTCGGCGTCACTTCTGTTTAAAGCACGATGGGCACCGAGAATTCTGTGACGGTATGTTTA